CAGGGACTACACAGGAAATGTAGAACCGGGGCACCTGGGTGGCTCAGTCGGTTGGGCATCCAACTTCAGCTCAGGTCATAATCTCACAGTTTATAAGTTCGAGCCCCGCATCAGGCTCTGTGCTGACCGCTCAGAGCCCGGAGCCCGCTTCGGACTCCGTGTCTCCCTCTCTCCCCAACCCTCCCCCGCTTATGCCCTGTCTCTCTCCCAAAAATAAACATTAGAAATTTAAAAGAAAAAAAAAATACACTTTTACGAAACACGTTGGGTCTCAGGGCAGGTGCTGATTGAGTGCTTAGTGTATGCAGTGGAACTGAATTAGTAACCATGGCATGGATCCGGGGCGTGGCTCGGTGTTAAGTGCCTGTGAGGGCTGGCAGGAAGGGCCCCAGCTAGACCAGTGGTTTTCAACCAGAGATGGTCCTGCCCCAGGGGACACTCTGGGACATCTGCAGACATTTTTGACTGTCCCGACTGGGGAGTGCTACTGGCATCTGGGGCGTGGGGGTCAGGGGTGCTGGTCAACAGCCCCCAGTGTGATCCAGCCCCAAATGCTGGGTGCTGTAAACCCAAACTAAGGGGACTGGAAAGACCGGGATTAGCCAGAGGGCCTGGATTTTTTCCCAGAGGAGCCAGGGAAGAACTTGGGACAGAGCGGAACAGCCACCAATCAGCTGCAAAACCTGAGGTCACTCAGGGTCACCGCACCTCTTTCTTCCTGCAGATAAACGACCTGCGCTCCCAGAAGACCCCCATTGAGAGTTTATTCATCGAAGCCACCGAGAAGTTCAGGAGCAACCTCAAAACCATGTACTCTGTCCCCGTACGTGCAGCCCCCAGCCCTGGCGAGGGCCCCTGTGGGGATCCCCATGGCCTCTCCCGGGCGCCTCCCCCTTCTGTCTTTCCCCCCCGGGTCACGCCTGCATCCCTGCAGAATGGCAAGATCCACGTCGGCTACAAGGACCTGATGGAGAACTACCAGATTGTCGTCAACAACCTGGCGGCCGAGCGGGGGGAGAAGGACACCAACTTGGTCCTCAACCTTTTCCAGTCGCTGCTCGACGAGTTCACCCGCGGACACACCAAGAATGACTTCGAGCCGCCCAAGGTTGGTGGCGCGGCTTCGGGGACGGGGGCAGGCGGGGGCGCTCCCGGGGCCCACACAGACTTCGCCTCTGTGCCCCCTCACAGCCGAGCAAAGCCCAGAAGAAGAAGCGGAAGCAGGACCGCGCTGTGAGTATTTGCACGCGTGCGAGAGAGTGTGTGTGTGAGCGTGTTTTCCCGCCCAGCCCTAGGGAACCCGGCCGTGAATGGGAACCTCGGCCCCAATATGCCACGGGCCGCGTGCACGCTGGGCGGCCCCGTGGTGAGACCGTGGAGGGTCTGCCCTCGCCGCTCAGCGCCCTCCTCCACCGCTCCCAGGTCCAGCAACACAATGGGCACGTATTCGCCAGCTACCAGGTGAGCATCCCTCAGTCGTGTGAGCAGTGTCTCTCCTACATCTGGCTCATGGACAAGGCCCTGCTCTGCAGCGGTGAGTGCCCCAACCCCCCCGCATCCCCTAACGCTGTCACCACTCCCCCTGACCCTTCACTTTGTCTCCCCCCACCCTCCATCATACTTCCGGACCCTCCCACTGCAGCCCCTGACCCTTCCCCATGCCCAAGAACCCTCCACAACATCTTTGGCTCACCTGCTGCACCCCCTGACCCTCACCTTGTCCTGGGACCCTCCTACCAAGCCCCCTGATCCCCCACCATGTCCCCAACCCCTCACTGTGCACCAGGGCCTTCACTCGAGCCACAGGGTGGATCTTCCTGGAACACTGCCCTCGCCACACCTCACGCACTCAGACCTCCCACTGTCACCCTGGGGCAGATCCCGATTCTCAGCCAGCCCTGAGGCCCCCAGCCACCTCTGCAGCCTGCCCTCCACCTCGGCAGGTTACCCCACGTCCTTCCTCCAAGCCCGTCAACACACTGCCCCTGCTGCCTGAACTCCAGCACCTCTCTGGGCCCCCCGAGTCCCTCCCTCATGTGCCAGGCGAGGTCAGTCAGTCCCACAGGAACCCCGAGAAACATACAGCCCAGGATGACCCAGCTGGCAGGAGGCCGGGGCCGGGTCAGTCGGTCTCTGGCAGTTATATTTTCCTGCAGGGATCAGCTTTCTCTCCCTGGGCCTCTCTCTCTTCTGCCCGGGGTCTCCTGTCTCCTCAGTCCCTGTGTAAAGAGCGATCTGTCCCCTCATGTCCATCACAAATACCCAGGCAGTGCTTCTGATTCTGTGTCTCTCTTTCTCTCTGCCCCTCCCCCGCTCACACTCTCTCAAAAATAAAAATGTTAAAAAAAAAAAAAAAAAAAAAA